TGTTACATGATATTTGTCTTTTTCTGTTTGACTGACTTCACTCAGTATGACAATCTGTAGGTCCATCCATGTTGCTTGTTGTTGCTCAGTTGCTAAGTCATGTTTGACTCTTTGTGACCCCTTGGATTGCAGCACATCACGCTTCCCTGTCCTTCACTGTCTCCCAGAGTTTGCTCAGATTCATGTCTATTGAGTCAGATCTTATCTTCTGCTGCCCTCTGCTCCTTTTGCCTTCAGTCTTTCCCATGTTGCTACAAATGGCATTATTTTGTTCTTTTTTGTGGCTGAGTTATTCCATTGTGTATATACACATGGGGCTTCCCAGATATCTCAGTTGGTAAAGAATCTATCCACCTGCAATGCAGGAGCCCCCAGTTCGATTCCTTCCTGGGTCGGGAAGATCCACTGGAGAAGGGATAGGCTACTCCAGTTTTCTTGGGTTTCCCTTGTGGCTCAGCTGGTAAAGAATCTACCTGCAATGCAGGAGACTGGGTTTGATCCCTGGGTTAGGAAGATCCCCTGGAGAAGGGAACGGCTACCCACTCCAGTGTTCTGGCCTGGAGAATTCCATGGACTGTATAGTCCATGGGGTCGCAAAGAGTCGGACACGCTGAGTGACCTGCACTCTCCCTTTCGTATACGCTTTTCTTTATCCTGTCATCTGTTGATGGACATTTAGGTTGTTTCCATGTCTTGGCTGTTGTGAATAGTGCTGCAGTGAATACTTGGTGCATGTATCTTTTAATTGAAGAGAATTGAGTGTGTTTAAATGCCGGTTAGAAGGATCCAGTGGGAAGGGAATGACATTTCCACAAGTCAGAGGTGTATTGGGGACCCTGGGGATACTGGCAAGAGCTCAGTGAGGGTTGTGGGGAACAGAAAGGCCCAAATGATGAGTATGGTCAGCTGTGGTGTTAGCAATTATGCGTGACCCTGAAACCACAGGAAGAAGTTTGACAGGAAATACGTACAGAGTCTGGAATAGAAAATGAGAGTTACTTAAGGGATATGGATCCAGAACATCTCACAGGTGGGGGAGGCTGGAACCGGGAAGACCTGTGAGAATATTTCAGAAATTTCAATGGAACGTTCCAAGGACCTGGACTAGAATCAGACTGAAAGGAAAGGAAAAACATGGAGACCCTCTCAAAGCTAGTTAATACATCTGTGTGACTGCCTGGCTCGTTACAAAAAGAAAGGGGGAAGGAGGCTTTAAATATGTTCTTCTCTGATGGGGGAAACTGAAAGATGTCTGGTGCCATTGTCAGAATATTTTGTGACTGCAGAGAGCAAAGATTCTCAAAAGTTAGCCACCAGCCAAGAGCGGAGACAGATGAGGAGTCTGGGGAGATTAGATTTGACAGTAAAGAAGTTACTGGAATTTTCCAAGAAAAAGGTTACGAAAGGACTTCCCTGGTGGCTAAGACTCTGTGCTCCCAGTGCAGGGTGCCTGGGGTCCATCCGTGGTCAGGGAACTAAGATCCTACATGCCGCAACTAAAACTTGGTGCAGCCAAGTAAATAAAAATAAATATTTTTTTAAAGTGTATTATCTTATTTTTTAAAAAAGGTTATAAAGAGTTATCATACAGAATAACCTGGTAGTTTTAGATTTTTAGAGACAGAATGAGCGAGTCTCTTTGTGTTAGGAGACCAGGCAGGTGGCATGCGATCTTGTGAATTGTGTGTCTCTGCAGAGCAGGACTTGAATCCTTGGTGAATAAATGAAAGGTTAATAGTTTACTTCAGAATGCCACCCTTTCCCACCACCCCACACACGTTACACCGAGCAGTCCCAGGAGCAGATTGTTTGGGTAAGATGAGGAAATCAGAGAGACTGAAAATGTTTTATCTTCAGCTGATGAGAACCGCTGCTTAAAACCTTATCAATAATTTAAATGACTGCACTGTTTTTTATTTTAAACATGCTTTTTGTTCTATGGAAAGATTTTTTTCCCACTCCATTTTCTTTATGTGTATTGTTATGATAGGGTTTTTCCCTCTTTTTTAAAAAAAGTTTTATTGGAGTATAGTTGCTTTACAGTGTTGTGTCAGTTTCTGGTGTACAGCAAACTGAATCAGCCGTTCGTATACATATATCCTGTCTTTTTTAGATTTCCTTTGCACTTAGGTCACCACAGAGTAGTTCCCTGTGTTCCCTCTTTACTTTATGGCATAAATATAACATAAAAAAGGATCAGGAGAGCTACTCACTGTCGACCAGCTCAGTACTCCCTGTCTTCCGCGTCTTCTTCCCTCCTTGTGCGTCTATGTGTGTGTCTGTGACACACACTTTGATGCACCTGTGATCAGCCGCAAGATAATACAGTTTCTCCTCTGGTGTTGTGAAATGTGACATGTCAAACGTGGTTTAAAAATATTATTGTATTAGGCAGAGCTTGCTTTTATTTTAACTTCTTGTATCCGGACAGCCATCCTTGGCACCAATAAGCAGTGATCAGAAGAGGAAGGATGTAAGGGTGCCCACCATGCCAGGCCCCACCCATCAGCCTAGGCTCCAGCCACCCCAGCTGTCTCCCTGCTCAGCTCTCCTGTGCTGGGGAACCTGCCAAGGCTGAATGGCTCTGAGCTGACGCCTCTGAACTCAGTTCTTGAAGGAGACTGGGAGGAAGAACCCTTCTGGTTTATGATGTGGTAAGCTAGGGGACTGCCCCCCACCCTGCCAGTGGCCATGATGGGGTGTCTTGATGCAGATGGGGAAGTAATAGCACTTTAGTTTGGTCCAGTGATGAATTTTAGCAGCACTCTCAACCTATGCTCAGCTAATGATAGCTTCTGAAAAGATGTGTCCAGAGATGGGAAGAGCCTTTTAAAGAAGATAAGGAGGCAATTACACTGATCATCAAGTGATGATGAAGCAGCGAGAACCAAAAAAAGATGTTGTGAAAGTACAGCTGGGTTGTGCGCTTTGTAATCCACAACTGGATGTAGTTCATAAATGGAGTTGGGTTTGATGTAACAAATTCCTAGTAGTTTAGATAAGGCATAAGTAACACCCAAGCTGCAGACAGACTGAGACTCTCAGCAAGAGGAAGGAGTGAAGCTGTCGCTGCTACAATGGCAGAGGTGGTCTGCTGCTGTCCACATCATTCTTCCCAATCAACAAACAGCTGAAAGTAGCCTTACTTTAGTGGCGTTGTCAGGAATGCAGATGCCCATGACAGTCCGTCCTGGATATTCAGTGTTGCATGTCCTCAATATCATTAGGTTGAAACTTTAGTTATCCCCCAGTTTTCATTCCAGTCCTTGCCAAGGTTACTTCACTCCAGAAGACTGGTGTGACGAAAAGGTTTATTGCTTAGTGATTTCAGTCTTCACTTTACAAGGATATTTAAACACATCTTTTCTTCACTGAGCATTTATTGTGGTATACTGGAGGCACAGGGACACAGCCATGAATCACACATGTGTTACCATGCTCTTAGCTTTCCAGTAACTTAATTTGGAAAGGTTAACTTAAAAACCTGAGTCTTATTCTGTGTGACTATGACAGCTTATCCTTCATCATGTCAATGTTTTAGAGGCATCCGGCAGTCAGACACTCAGCAGTGTCCCCTGCCTGCTTCCACATCACCCTCTCGGATTCCGGGGCACTGGGAGACACAGTTACTCATGATTTAGTGGCTGTCTTGGCAGTGGGTTCAGAGCTGTTTCACCACAGTGTTTCTTGCTTCTACCTTGGCTGGCTGGGGCCTCTGCCATTCTGTGGATGTGTCCCTGCCCCCCACCCTCCCTACACAGCAGAGGCCTCCGGTCCACGGTCCATTATTGTGTAAGTTGCTACAGTCAGCCTTGATGCATCAAACCTCTTTGAGTTTGTAAGACATCCAGATTTTTCATTTTATACTTTAATCTCCGAGGTGGGTTTCGTTTCTGGAGCATTAAGGAGATCCGCATTAAGTTTTCACCCCTAGATTTTTTTTTTTTTTTACATTGTCCATAGTAAACAGCATAAGTGAAAATTTAAAATGTAGTGTAGGTGAAGGTTAAAAAATAACTGTGGTAGTATAGATGAAAATAAATTCCTTACATTTTCTATTGTAAATTCTAAATTCTGTATCATTTCCACATTACGTAAATCTGTTTGGCATTGAAAACTGTACCGCAGATGAATATGCTGGGCCCTCATCGTGTTGGTTCTTGTTTCTTTGTGAATACAAATGAGCACAGTATTCCCACTTACATTAAAAACAATAGGTCATTGAATCAGATCAGCCTGTGCCTAGTACAATATTATTTGGGTCTTCTGATTTCTTCATGGAATTTGTTCAGTCAGAATGCAAATGATAGAGTTTTTGAGTGTTTACTTAAGAATTCACAGTGTCTAATTCATTTCAATGTATGACAAAAACCACTGCAATGATGTAAAGTAATTAGCCTCCAACTAATAAAAATAAATGGAAAAAAAAAAAAGAATTCATGGCGATCCTGTATTTTGCTTACTTGCCAGAACTGTCAATTCAGTTGTATTATGTTTCAAGTTAAAGAAAACCTAATTTAAGGTGACTTATGAAAGGTGACTGTTGGCTTGTGTGGTTGGAGGGCCAGCCACAGGGTGACTGACCCACAGCTCCACAGCGCCACTAAGAGCTTGGTTCCTTCTTTCTTCTCTGCATCCTCACCTTCCTCCTGCGATGATGGTTGCCAGCCGTCCCCAGACCAGTGTGTTTAGACTCTCACACAGGAACCTCTCCTGGTGTCTCGTTGACCTTGACCATGGGGCTGGTGTGTGCTTTGAGCAAGCAGCCGTTGCTGGGGACAGGGTGATTCTGAGTAGCTCAGCATGGTGCCAGCTCTGCTGAAACACAAGGCTGGGGGCAGGGGTGCAGAAGCTCCAGTTGGAGCTGGGTAGGCACCACGGGGAGGATGCGATGGAGGAAGAGTGGCAGCCATGCTGCCCACGTGCCCTGAGGGCTGAAGTTAACTGGGTTTCCTTCATAAAAGTGCTCGCTTTGTTTCACTGGTTTCTTCTCTCTTCAGGGGCCATGACAGCCACCAAGAGGACAGGCATTCCTGCCCCTCGAGAACTCTCTGTCAGTGTCTCAAGAGACAGAACTGTGCCACGTGGTCCCTCCAACTCAAGGAAAGCGATGACCAGCCCCACCTCTTCTGGCGTGCCCACCCCCACCAAGCACGTGCGGGCTGCTCCCCCAAGACCCCGGCCGGAGCATGAAGGTGCAGAGAAGGCCATGCTTGAGTCCCAGGTCCGGGAGCTCTTGGCAGAAGCCAAAGAGAAAGACAGTGAGATCAACAGGCTCCGAAGTGAACTCAAAAAATGGATGGAGAAACGGACTCAGGACAGTGAAGACGGGGATGCTTTGGACCCCAGTGTGGACAGAGCATCGGTCTTGCCGGGTGACTCAGAACCTTTGATCCGAGCCCTTGAGGAGAAGAACAAGAGCTTCCAGAAAGAGCTTGCAGAGCTCGAGGTAGAAAATCGGGCCTTGAAGGAGAAACTGACTTATTTTGAGCACTCCCCGGATTCAGAAGGGGGAGCAAGTCACACTGGGGACAGCAGCTGCCCGACGTCCATAACTCAGGAGTCCAGCTTCGGGAGCCCGACGGGGAATGAGGCGTTGGGTGAAATTGACACGTACAGAAAAAACCTGCACGAGGGTGCCCTGCGGACATCAGGCTCTTCCAGCAGTGACGTCACCAAGGCCTCCTTGTCCCCAGATGCCTCTGACTTCGAACACATCCCGGCAGACACCCTAGGGCCCCTTTCCCCCGCTGGGAGCCTTGTCAAGAGCTCCAAGTGCTCGGCAGCCAGCAGCTCCCCGAACACAGCGAGCGAGCTGTCCTTGGCATCCCTGGCAGAGAAGATCCACAGGATGGAGGAGAACCAGCACAGCACGGCCGAGGAGCTGCAGGCCACACTGCAGGAGCTGTCTGACCAGCAGCAGATGGTGCAGGAGCTGACGGCTGAAAATGAGAAGCTGGCTGACGAGAAGACGCTCCTGGAAACGTCCTTTCATCAGCACCGGGAGAGGGCGGAGCAGCTGAGCCAGGAGAATGAGAAGCTGATGACCCTCCTGCAGGAGCGTGTAAAGGGCGAGGAGCCTGGCGCCCAGGAAGGCAAGATCCTGGAGCTGGAGCAAAAGTGCACAGAGATCCTGGAGCAGGGCCGCTTCGAGCGCGAGAAGCTGCTGAGCATCCAGCAGCAGCTGACGTGCCGCCTGCGTGCAGTCGAGGAGGAGCACCGTGGCGCCCTGGAACTGGTCCGGCACCTGCAGGAGGAGAACGGGGAGCTGACCACCCGCCTGGAGCTGGAGCGGCACAGCGGCGGCCCCACAGCTGAGACCCCAGCAGCGTGTCAGCTTCCCATGGAAGGGCTCCAGGTAGAGAACGGGTCTCTGCAGGCCTCCCTGGAGAACGAGGAGCAGAAAACTGGAGGGGACAGCCCCCTGGGGCCCACGGCTGAGGGCTGCGATGTCCAGGAAATGCTGACCGTGGCTCGAGCCGAGAAGGACCAGCTGGAGCAGTCCTGCTCGGAGCTCAGGCAGGAGCTGCTGAAGGCACATGGGGAGGTGAAGCGCGTTTCAAGCCTGCTGGCCAAGGTAAGGAGCTTTCTCTCTGCTGGGGTTTGCTCATCCTTATCTACTTGGCCCTCCTCAGCCTGAGAGACACAGGGCACAGAGGACCAGGTACTCAATTACGTTCACAATCCAGCAGTCTACCCTGAAGATCTGTCAGAGTCCACACAGACCGGGCATGCAGCAACGAGACACCCCAATTTCTAGCTACAGTAGTAGAATATGTCATGGGGATACAGTGAGTCTGGTGATGCAGGAATAAAGAACATCACAGAGGCCAGTCTGGAGTCCAGTCCCCAGGGGAGCACCTAGAATAATGTGGGTAAGGGAGGGTAGTGCAGGAGGACTTCCTGGAAGAGGTGGCAGTAAGCCAAGTGTTGAAGAGTGAGTGATAGACATCCAGTTTCCTGGTTACCATGCTTTGGGCACTTAGGAACAGAAAACTAAAATCACCCCAAGTTTCCCCACCAAGTAATACAATTATATAACCACTATTTTGGCATTTTCTTCCAGATGTACCAATGTATGTGTGTATGTTTTTATCTCACAAGTTAAAAAATCATTCTATACGTACTAACTTTTAAAAAATCTGATATTTTGTGAGCACATTCTCATTGTTCACTATTCTTTGAAACATGATTTTGAAGGCCAGATTGTATGCTGTTCTAGAAATATTTCCTAAGTACTTTACTGCTCACCTATTGTTGAACATTCATGTTTTTTTCCCAGTCTTTTGATAGTGTAAGTCATTTTTTATCTCTCTCTGATTATTTCCTTAGGAAAAATTCCTAGACATTGACTCACTATGTCAAGACCGTTTTAAACACTTTGCATGCCTTTGGCCAGATTGGCTGCCAGCAGTAAGACACAGGTGTAATCCCACCAATGGCGTGGGGTGTTCTGGACCCCTTGCTGACATTTGGTACCTAGCTGTTGGGTCATTCAGATCTGGTCTCCGTTTCCTCTTTTCCCCTCCCCGTTTCCACTCAGAAAGATCTTTTGCTTTTTAAAAATAATGCTCTAATCAGCCTGAACTTTGTTCTCTGGTAAAGATTGCTGATGATTGTATAATATTCTGCCCACCCTCAGAGCAGTGCTGGAAAGGTATAGACAGGTGGCTTCCAGTTTCCCAATTCCTCTGAGCTCTGGGTCTGATTTTGGAGTCCCTTGCTGAGAGGGACTGAAAACATCCTCCCACCTCATATCAGGGGCTGTCACTCTCTTGATACAGATTATGCCCTGAACTCCCAGAGGGTTTGTCTCTCCTCCTTCATCTGCCTTAAGAGTGGTCCATTGCAACCTGATTCTCCGGTCGTTAATGGTGTGGATGTCTTACAAGCTTTCTTCTTCCTATCATTTCTTTGTCTTCATCTGGGTTAGAATATCTTCAGGTTTCCAGCTTCTCTGACCTCCACCTTGTAACTTTGCTGGCAGCTGACTGTGTGATTGTAGAACCTGACTGTGCACAGCTTCGTGGGGCCAGGGTGGGGGGGTGGGGTCTTGTTTCCACAGAATCCTCAAGCCTTAGCCTCCCACCACCACACACATGCCTTCATTAGCTGGCCAGCAGTGTGGAGTTGGATCACATCTTTGTTTTTCCAGATTATAATGTAGTCTAGGTCTACTCGTCAAGATTCCAGTCATTTGGGACCTTGATTTCAAGCTGGAGAATTTTTGTAAGTCTTGGAACCTAGAAGTTTAAAAAAAAAACACTGATTTTTCCCTTCCCCTGAGGTTGACAACGTGTAGAAATTCAGTTCCTCCTGCAAAACTGGGGCGTTTCCTCCAGTGTAGTAAGGGGGTTGTAAAGAAGCACTTGCCTGAGTGGCCAAGGAAAATGAGAGGTGACACGATCATTATGTGACCAGCGTTGTCACATAAGACAAAATGATTAGGGCAGCAACTGGCCACAAATGGTCAGTTTGTGAGAGAAGATGTGGCAGATCAATGGCCCCATCACCATGACTGAGGACAGGACCCTACAGGAATGGAGAGACCTGGACCCTGGCTGAAATGGCAGGTGGTCCATGAGCATGACCAGCTGGTACTTTGGACAGTGAGAACAAACCCCGGAGTTGGGGCCCCAGTCATCGGATGTGCTCTCTGCTCCATAACCTGGAGTCTGGTGTTTGAGTCTGGTGTTGGGGTCCAGGTGGTGTAATGTCACCACTCCAGGCTGGCAGTTCTGAGACCCTCTCTGCCTTCCTGCTGGAGGTGCAGACGATGATCACGGTGTTTTCAGCATCTGGTCTCTACAGTCATCACAGTCCTGTGGGAGAACCTTCCCTGGCCCCCCCCCGCCCCGTTACACCTGGGCAGGACTGGGTCACACCCAGTGATCTGGTGACCCCCACTCAGGTCACCTTCCCTGAGTGCAGGATCACAGCCTGATATCTGAACAAGTTAGGGGGTCTTAGTAAGAAGAGAAGGGGGCGTGACCTCTGGGCAGATGAGAGCGCCACTGGCCATAGCCAGCAGGACTACGCCTGGTCGGTCACGTCCCCACCCCATCTGCTTTCCCTTCCAACCCCTTCCCTGCCCTCTGCCCCACTTTTCCCCCCGCAGGTCCTGTTTGAAGCTTTAGGTCTCAACTTTGGTGTTCCTTTTTCAGAGGCGCTGACCCTCAGCTCCAGGAGGGCTGTGGGCTTATGGACCCAGGAGGCCACATCCTGGATGGGCTGGGACTTCTTGGCTAGCCCAGTGCCTTGGTGGTACTGATTTGGGCCTGAGCTCCAGTCTCTTTCTTAAACTTGACCGCAGGACTGGTCTCTGGAGCCTCTGGCTGCCCCAGCATTTGTCTCCTGGTTGAGACCTTGGAAAGCACCTCAGGGAGCATCACAGCTCTGCCCTGAAGGTGTCTCAGAGGGCCTCAGTGAGATACAGATGTTTTCCCTCCTCCTTGAGTTTTCTGTCCCCATCTTTCTTTTTCCATAACAAAATTGTAAACTGAACTAGCATATTCCCTCCCCTTTGGCATAGTAGCATTGTAAAAAAGGTAGTGCAGATGGAAGCTGGCATGAATGAAGCATGGCTCCATCAGAACAGGGGCAAGGATTCAGCAGAAGGGAATAACCAAGTTAGATGTAAAACAGACATAACGAGACTTCCCTGGTGGTCCACTGGATGAGAATCTGTCTTCCACTGTAGGGGACACAGGTTTGATCCCTGGTCCAGGAAGAACCCACATGCCTCGGAGCAGCTGAGCCCCAACTCTAGGGCCTGAAAGTCACGACTGCTGAAGCCCATGTACCCTAGAGCCCATGCTCTGCAACGAAAGAAGCCACTGCAATGAGAAGCCCACACACCACAATTAGAGAGCAGCCCCCGCTTGCTGCAACTAATGCCTGAGCAAAGCAACGAAGACCTAGCACAGCCAAAAAATAAATTTTTTTAAAAAAAATATCCTCTGTCCAGTGCAGGGGATACGGGTTCAATACCTGATTGGGGAACTAAGGTCCCACATACTGCAGGGCAACTAAGTTCACATGCTGCAACTAGAGAGAGCCCCTGTGCAAGCGAAGACCCAGCACAGCCAAAATTTTTAAAATAAAAAAAAATATAAAACATACACAGCAAGATAATGCACACTCATTCATGATACAATTACTTAAGCCCTCACACTATGTACAGTCTTAACATGTGACAAATACCTATGAAAAAAAGCGAAAAGCAAAGGAGAAAAGGAAAGATATACCCATCTGAATGCTGAGTTCCAAAGAATAGCAAGGAGAGATAAGAAAACCTTCCTCAGTGATCAGTGCAGAGAAATAGAAGAAAACAATAGAATGGGGAAGACTAGAGATCTTTTCAAGAAAATTAGATACACCAAGGGAACATTTCATGCAAAGATGGGATCAATAAAGGACAGAAATGGTATGGACCTAACAGAAGCAGAAGATATTAAGAAGTGGCAAGAAAACACAGAAGAACTGTACAAAAAAGATCTTCATGACCCAGATAATCACGATGGTGTGATCACTCACCTCAAGCCAGACATCCTGGAATGTGAAGTCAAATGGGCCTTAGAAAGCATCACTACGAACAAAGCTAGTGGAGGTGATGGAATTTCAGTTGAGCTATTTCAAATCCTAAAAGATGATGCTGTAAAAGTGCTGTGCTCAATATGCCAGCAAATTTGGAAAACTCAGCAGTGGCCACAGGACTGGAAAAGGTCAGTTTTCATTCCAGTCCCTAAGGCAGTGCCAAAGAATGCTCAAACTACTTCACAGTTGCACTCATCTCACATGCTAGTAAAGTAATGCCCAAAATTCTCCAAGTCAGGCTTCAATAATATGTGGACCATGAACTTCCAGATGTTCAAACTGGTTTTAGAAAAGGCAGAGGAACCAGAGATCAAATTGCCAACATCCACTGGATCATCAAAAAAGCAAGAGAGTTCCAGAAAAACATCTGTTTCTGCTTTATTGAATATGCCAAAGCCTTTGACTGTGGATCACAATAAATTGTGAGAAATTCTGAAAGAGATGGGAATACCAGACCACATGACCTGCCTCTTGCCTCTGTATGCAGATCAGGAAGCAGCAGTTAGAACCGGACATGGAACAACAGACTGGTTCCAAGTAGGAAAAGGAGTACGTCAAGGCTGTATATTGTCACCCTGCTTATTTAACTTATATGCAGAGTACGGCATGAGAAACCCTGGGCTGGAAGAAGCACAAGCTGAAATCAAGATTGCTGGGAGAAATATCAATAACCTCAGATATGCAGATGACACCACCCTTATGGCAGAAAGAGAAGAAGAACTAAAGAGCCTCTTGATGAGAGTGAAAGAGGAGAGTGAAAAAGTTGAGTTAAAGCTCAACACTCAGAAAACTAAGATCATTGCATCCCGCCCCATCACTTTGTGGCAAATAGATGGGGAAATAGTGGAAACAGTGGCAGAGTTTATTTTGGGGGCTCCAAAATCACTGCAGATGGTGACTGCAGCCATGAAACTAAAAGATTCTCACTCCTTGGCAGGAAAGTTATGACCAACCTAGACAGCATATTAAAAAGCAGAGACA